TGTAGTAATTATATCTATTCCAAAATCCAAATCTGGGCATCTGTAGGTAGGTTATCTAGGTAGTAATATTAATAAAACGATTGATAATTAGATAAAAAGATTTTAAAATTTTTTAATTACTTTTCTATTCTTGTTTCTTTACTAGTTTTTTTTTTTTTTTTTTTAATAGTTTTATTGTGTTTTTCCATTTTTAGCAGTTTAGCCAGTTTTGCCAGTTTTGCCATTTTGCCATTTTAATTTTTTTTTTTGCAAAAGTCGAAACTAGTTTTGACTTTTGCCAATGGCAAAACCTCTAGGTTTTGCCTAACAACACTAATCAAACCTTATCGTTATCTAAAGTGGCGGTTGTTAGCATTTACCATTTGTAGCTAGAATATATTATGTTCCTATTATTATAAAAATAATGACTATAAATGGGTGACGAAATTGACGAATAATAAGTGATGAAATTTTCATTGTGACGAAATTGACGAAAAACTTATTTCGTCAAATTTCGTCAATTCCGCCACCCATCACTAATAATGGCCGTTGTAAAAGGCTAGAAAAACCCTAAAAAGGGTAAGACTTCGATCGAGGCGTGGAAAAACTTAGCCCGAGTAACTAGCGCTAGGGTCAATTAGAGCTCTAGATGTCGTATCATGTGAGTTGGATTGGATATACTAAAAACTATATAAACTATCAGCTATCAACATTATTGGTAAAATAAATCAAGATGGGATTTTACAATAGTAAAATCAACAAGAATCAATTCCCTTCTCTTAACATTAAGGAATTTAAATCAACAAGTAGTAATGTATTGAATGAGAGCCATGAGAGTATTTCTGATACCGGTAACTCTTATTTCGAAAAAGGTAGAAGATATACTACACAAAATAAGATATATTCTTTACCTAATGACCACGAAGAGCATAGTAGATTAAATTTACAACACATCGTATTGAGATTGGTTTGGAATGACAACTTTTTCGCACCAGTTGAACATCTCCTTAATCAAGAAGACACAAAGGTTCTTGACGTAGGGTAAGTTATTTCATGATAATGATAACAAAATAACAAATTATACCGTGACGTTTAACATCAAACAAAATTAAGATTAAGATAGAGCATAGTTGATATCAAAGTTTTGAATGCATATAAAAGATTTTAAATTACAGAAATTTATAATTTTGACGTGTAAAATGTCAATAACAACGATTAAAGCTGTTTTAATAAATTATTTTAGAACAGGCGCCGGTTCTTGGATACTCGATATGGCAACCAGTTATTCAAAAGCAAAATTTATCGGTGTTGATATTTCACTTGTTCAACCAGGCCTTGATAAACCTAAAAATGTTGAATTTATGGAAGGAAATGTATTAGAACGTTTACCATTTGATGATAATACATTCGATTATGTATTTCAACGACTATTAATTATAGCAATTCCTGCAAAGGAATGGCCATCAGTTATTAATGAGCTAGTCCGGGTATTAAAACCTGGTGGTTATTTAGAGGTTGGCATTATTTATATTAAATATTCTAGTGAAATTTATTAACTATTAATATTAGATTATATCTATATTTTTTTTTTAGCTTATGGAAGCTGACCTTCAATATAAAAATATGGGGCCTGCAACAAAAAAGGTTGTTAATGGCTGTAAGGATCATATTTATCCGTTCATCAAAAGATTGAATTTATAATATTCTAATTTTATATATGTTTTTAGTAATAACTATGTCTCGTGAGCGTGGTATAGACCCACACACATGTTATAAATTGCAAGGTTATTTAAAAGAACATAATCAACTTTGTAATATTCACTGTGAAATAAAAGAAAATCTTAATGTAGATAAAAAGATTCGCGAATTGGTATGTGCAAGTTTTAATATAATCATTCAACATTTATTGTACATCAATCAAAAAATTTTGATAGTTTATATTTTATACTTACTTAGCGGATTAAAAATTATTCTGGTGCCCTCATGGGTATAAAACCAAAACTTATGACTATAATTAACGTATCTAGCGTTGAATATGATGATTTAGTTAAAACTGTAGAAAAAGAATTATGTGAATTCGACTGTTACAATCCTCATGCACGTGCTTATGCTCAAAAAAAAATTAGTTTAAAACTGGGTGCTTGAAATGTTAAGGGGAGTTAAAAGTACAATTAAATTAATTATTAAATGTTATGAGTGTCACATGTAAAAATCACAAGAAAAAAAAATCGAAAAAAAAAGATTACGTAATTCGTGTACTGTACTGAAA